CAGGGAACCTTAAGTGGCCTTCCGTGACCACAGTGCAAATACTGTAGCGGAGGTATGACCCCCGCTGCTCCCATTTCTGTTACTTTTCAAGTCTGCACTGAATGGAAATGGGGGGAAAAAAAGAAAAAAAAGAGGTGTTGGAGAAAGTCACTTTAAGCCAATGACTCACCCAGTCCAGTGCTTTTAAACCTTTGTGAATACCTACAGAGGTGAGGTCTTTTTTTAAAGAACACCAGCTGAATTTAAGACTTTTTTTGTTGTTGTTGTTTTCATCCAAGTGCCTCTACAGCCAGAGTGGAGTACACAGCACACCTGAAGTGTCATTGCCGTCTCGGGGTTTTGCAACAACTTGAAAGCAGCGAGATGTGTAGCACACGAAGCAGTGCCTTCAAAGAGATTAAAGCCAGTTTCTTGATCGGAAACATGATCGGAAAATCACCATGCACTATAGAATAATGCCTTAAAGTGCAATTAATATTGATTCTTTTTATTATGTCCTCATATTTGTTTTTAAAAAAATTGTGAAAAAACAGGCTGCTGGAAAACGATGGATTAGGAATGTAAGGTCGGCAGCATTTTGCCCCAAACCCGCTGCTTCCTAACGTGCTCCATCATGTGAGAGGAAGGAGCTGTGGTCATACTAGACTGCCTCTCAATTCTAGCTTTTGTCTATGGAGCTAGTTTCGTGGTAGAATACCTTCTGAATGAGATTGGAAGTATTTATTAAAGTGTATTTTGCCTCAGATGGTTTATCAAGTTGACACGGATGTTGTGATCTATTCTCCCCTGTTGTGTTAAATTAAGAATACCCTCTAAACCCATCTGTCACTTTGCTTTTGAGAACCTGTCATCCCTCACAAACCCGTGCGTGCCGAAATGAAATGTGCCAGTGCCAGCGTATTTATTTAGAGCTTTTTCAATTCTATAAAACTACAAACAACACTCACTAGAGCCTGTTTTTTGTTTAGTCACAAGAATCCTTAAAGGGAGCAGCTCTGTGCCAGTTCTCTTAAGAGTCTTGTGTGTAAGCTGTACTTGAAACTACATCAAAAACACTCCTGTTAGGCTTTCTTTTCTTCTTTTTTTCCACTCAAGACCACATTAGTGTTTCTACTGGGATCAAAGGACCAAGAGATTCAGTGAAACTGTTGGTAAAATGACTGGTGAATAGCATTTTTTTTGCTATTCATTCCCACTGAATTACATTTGGTCTCAATGGCAATTTGAATTTATGAACATGTGATATTCAAACTAGTTGATAAATTGTGAGATGACTCCTTTTGTGTGTTAGCTTTGTAAATAATGCTTGGTTAAAGGGACCAGTAAAAACTACTGATGAGGCAAAAGGGAAGTTGATTACTTGATATGAAGAAGAGGTTGGACTGTTGGGGATGGGGAAGGATTTTTCTAAATAAAATGACTGCTGGGATGATTGAAAGAATAAAAGACTAACCACAAACACACATGCCTTTTGTTTTACTCGCCTGCACAAACAGCGCATTGCACAGTTAAACTGTCAGGAATGAGGAAGAAGTTTTTTCGTTATATGAAATGCCAGGTGTAGCAAAAGGAGAAAAGTGTGAGCTGCTGCAGCTATACTAGGTGTGAATGTGTACTTTTTATTTTTGTTGTTGTTGTCATGGTATAAGCGACAACATGCATTTCACATTTGAACAACCAAAGACTGAAAAGCTGCTATTGCAATCTGCTGCCTGCAATCCACACAGCTCACCCCTGCACTCACGGACTGCAGCATTCATAATAATTTGGCACCACCTACTGGTAGCAAATCAGTACTGACCGCTAATGGCAGGCGACAGAGAAGGATCTTGATTGCCAACTGTGGAAACAAAACCAAAATGATATTAAATGTTCTGGCTAATATCTAGTTTACTTTTCACTCCCCCCCCCCCTCCCTGTCTCTGGGCTCACAAATGTACACAAGCAACAATATGTGGTTTGCTCTCTCCGTTCTCAATTCATGTTTCAGTAAATCTAGAAATATTATGTGAGAATGTCATCTTTCATAGTTTGGGTGATACAATATTCATTGGTTACCTGGGTTGTTTTAGTGGTTTTCAGATATTTTCTACCATGCCCTAATTCAGAATAGAGAAAAAGTCGATGCCTACACCCAATATTTTCTATTAGTTATTAATAGAAACTGATCCAGGTTGAATTTTATCAAAGGAAAGGCCAGCAAGATGCCATCGGCAAACTTTGTTGTTCTATTTTTTTTCTATAAAAATCTTATTCACTCAGCCAGGTTTGCCTCCTGGAGTGACCTTTTGCCCCACAGCATAGAACCACTGCATTATATTTTCACTAAAAAAAATATCTATTGGTACTGTATGTATGTTTTATCTAATTGCCGAGTGCTGTTGCAAAATGCTGGGTGAGACAGAGGGAGCAGAACAATTTAAAAAGGAGGTAGGAAACACACGACAGCTGAAATGTTCAGCATCACTTAAAAGTCCCTGTTTTTGAAAGAAAAGCACGTTTGTTTTAATATTATATAAAACTGATCAGGAATTACAATTATTCATAGAATCATTAATCACTAATTAGTTAGTGGGGTTAGATTAATTGGTCATTCTAAATTGCCATACTTGTGAAAGTGGGTGTGAAACCTGTGACAGACTGGCGCCCTGTCCAGGGTGTACCCTGCCTCTCGCCCTATGGTAGCTGAGGTAGGTTCCAGTCTCCCCGTGACCCTGAAAAGGATAAGCGGAAGAGAATGGATGGTTCGAACATTAATCATAAGTTATTTTGAATTGGATATCTACATAGGCATGCAGAGGACATCATTGGTAAGCATCTGCATTGGTGTATGGAGGGTTTTTGATGTTTAGAGGCTGAATGATGACAATGGCCCAACAGATCTTATAATTATAGATGTAATAAATTTGGATATTCAAGATGATGTATCACTAATATATCCTTGGACCTTCTTACTTAAGAAAAAAACCTTTCTAAAGTACACTTATTCTAAGTATGTGGTATAAAAAAGCTAACAAAATAACAGAATACTCTTTTAAGGTAACACAATATACACAATAAAGCTATAGGATGCAACAAAGATAGGCAACTTTTAGTGGTTCAGTGACAGCTGGGTGCTGTGTTTTCTTTTCTTTTAAAAATGCATTAGTCATTAGAAAACTCAGTCATGGTTCCTATGTTGTTTTTTCATCCACAGGTCCACGGGCATTTGTGTCACTTGGCTTTCATGACAAGATGTGTCGTGAAAGGCTGACAAGGGTGTGTTTCAACTGAACAGATCTTACATGATAAAACCCCTGTAACTGGAACAATATGCAGTCTGTTTTCATGTGGTTGTTCCTATTGTATTCTAATGTACTGAATAAAACAAGCCCAGTTACTCCTACGCTTTAATGACTGATACATTCCCAAGATACACCCAACTATAATTTTATGAATAGTGTAATAATTAATGATCTGTCACAGACCTGAAAACAAGGTGTGACCACAAAAAGTGCAGATGAAATGACAAACTTTATTCAGTAAATTCATATTTTAAAATGTGGGATCATTAAAAGTAGCCTAGGGGGGAGAGGAAGCCCGGATCCACACCAGTCCTATAGGAACACACCATGCTAAAAAGATGCCTCCCATGATATCACATGGGGTGGCTGTAGCTCGGAAAGGTTGGTAGTTTGATTCCTCCAGTCTTAAGTATGCTTGAATGAGATACTGAACCCCAACATTTTGTTCTCAGATGTGTTCACTGGAGTATGAATGTGTGGGAATGTTAGAAAGCAAAAAAAAGTGCTTGGTTGAAGTTGTATAAAACGCTACGAGTGTCAAGGAGAGTTGGAAAGTGCTATCTCAGAATGATGCCATTTAACATCACTGCAAAATTTAAAAAGTAGAAATGTATATACTGCTGCACATAGTGAAGGCCCAAGTTTCCCCGATTTCTCTCCTGCCCCTCCCTAGTAAAACACAAATGTACTGATTAAATATAGCCTAGGCTTACTGGGTGATCAACAATACAGTCAAGTTGGACCAGTAGTTATGGTGAGGTCAGAGCTAATCCCAGTCACGTTACAGGAACCTCTGTTCAAGTCAGCCCAAACCCCAAAGGTGCAACTAATAAGTGTTTTAATTTCCGTTTTAATATTTGCACCTATTACAGTAGGCTATCTATTGCATGGAAAATGTTATCCATCATCTCGTCCTAAATGAGAACGCCCTCATTCATGCACTCACATGAATGTTGAGTCTCTGACAGACACGACAAGGGCAGTCTACCGTGGTATATTACAACACTCCGGCTGACTTGTTACCTTCCCGTGTCTCTTTGTGGTTTTCACAATATGGGTACTCGATCAAACAGTGCGCCACTCAAATTACCTTCTCGCCTCGAAAGATCGCCTTAATTATTTAGCATTTTAATTTGCTTAAACATACATTTTGTGTCAGATTTCATCTTTCGTGTCAAGAGTTTTCATATCGGTTTCATATGAGTGACAAGGGGCCTCGTATGAATGAGAACCTATAAAAAGATCACTTGGATATAGAAATAAAATGACTGCTTATCATAAACTTCATTTTTTCAGGCTTTCAAATTAAAAGCCTACAAACTTTTGCAACGCTTTGTGACATAATATAAAGCAGTGGTGCCCAACAAACTCGAAAACTGAGAAATTACCAGAACCAATCTTTGATGATTAAAAAAATCGAAAGCGGAAGTGACTTATTTTACTTATACAAGCTAGTGTACCCCTGGCAGTCATTTTACGAATTTTTGAAGTCTTCGAACAAAAATAATAATAATAATAATAATAATAACAACAGTAATAATAATAATAATAATAATAATAATAATAATAACAGTAATAATAATAATAATAATATCTGTGCAGTATTTTACGTGGCGTTATTCCGGGGTAGTTTGAAAGGGAACGGAGTTTTAATTTGATAACCGGAAACTAGTTGCTAATTCTGCTACTAAAAGTTGACTTGAACTTCTACTGCTGTTCACGTAAATGTCGTTAATCCCGGTTCCTCGATGGCACTTGATGAACCGGTTGGACACAAACTATATTCATAAAGACTTGACTGAGAACGAAAAAAAAATCTTTTTAATTATAATATTTGATTTTCTCAGTGAGTGAACTGAAAGAAACAGCATACGAGGCTTTTGATTTGACCTAGTTTTCCTTTCCTCCAGCAGTTAGGTGGCTCACTAATCCGAAGAGATACTTGTTAGCTAATCTAATCTGAGTTAGTTAATCCTTTCCCTCTTCACTCCAGCAGCAGGCAGGGTAACGGAATTGAGGAGGAGTGACCACCGTTCTCCGTTTGACTGAGAAGACTCACCCAGTTTGGGGACTCTGTACGTAGATAGAGTTACACTTTGCCTGAACTATGGAGGAGAAACTTGGAAGTAGTCAAACGGAAAGGTGACGCGGCTGTGGAGTCTAGCAAAACCAACTTGGACAGCAAAGGTTGAGCACAGTGCAGCTCATCGGGGCATGAGAGCCTCCAACTTTGCGCCTTGCAAAGAAACGAAACGATGGCTGCATACGGAAGGAGGAAACGGCCCAAGTTACTTATTTTAATAGTTGGTGCCATTTTGCTGGGATATGTTACATTTTTCAAACGCAAGTCGGGGGAAGTGAGCTTGACGAACCGACGGGAAGTCACAGGAGAGGAAGAGTATGAGCTCCTTAAGAAGCCAGTCTACGAGAAGCCCCCCTTGGATTTAAACGCTCTGGGAGAACTGGGCAGAGCCGTGAAACTGAATCTGAACGAAGAGGAGAAAAGAAAAGAAGAGGAAAGTATCAAAGCGCACCAGATTAACACTTATGTCAGTGATAAAATATCACTGCACCGCAGGCTGCCAGAGAGATGGAACCCACTGTAAGTAACCTGTTGTCTATTGTTAGCAAATGTTAAAGCCCAGATCTAAAGTTTAAAAGAAGCCTTTGCAGTTTGGATGCCCCAGCAACACTATTACACGGCTCAGTAAATACCTCAGAGGACGTGTAACTCGTAAACTGAGTCATCTGCTGTTAAGATGGAATAATAAATGCTCTGTGTTTACTTCTATTGGTCATCAAATCTTAAAAGTATGAAGGTTAACCACGATCCAGCTTTACATGCAAATTTACACAGCCAGCTCTCATTGTGCAGTGTCATTCCAGCCACCCAGCCTCACCTCCAATTTTTTTTAGTCTGCATTCTAACAACCAAGTCTCCTCTCTCTCCAGCTGCAAAGAGCTGAAGTATGACTACAGGTCCTTGCCCACGACCTCTGTGGTGATTGCTTTCTACAACGAGGCCTGGTCCACCCTGCTGAGGACTGTTCACAGTGTGCTGGAGACGTCTCCTGACATCCTGCTGAAAGAGGTGGTGCTGGTGGATGACTACAGTGACAAAGGTAGAGGCACAGACAGACTGATGGACAGGCAGTGGGCAAGAATGGTGGCAGGCTGACAGTCAGGAGCTGTTACAGGTGCACACAGACAGGTAGCAGTTAGATGGGTGGAGGAGGATATACTGACATGTTATCAGTTAGGCAAGTCAAACAGAGATACTGGAAAATATGCTCATCGAATTATAAAAAAATACTGGATGCAAATTTTTGTGCTTTGATTTTTAGTTTAATCCACAACTCTATAGCCTCAGTCATCACAATGTAAGTAGTTCAACTTGGAGGCGGAGTCTGTCCCACTACACAAAGCGTTGCTCCAACCACCAATAAAACTTTCGCTGGAAAAAAGCCGGTGGAAGTCCTTAATCAAACCTGTTCAACAGGCTTCAGCTTAAAAAAATACATCTGTAAACCAAAGAAAACAAAAACAAACTAAACCCTTTCATTGTGTTCATGTGCTGTATTAAACCAACATTGTATTTGAAGAAAACATTTTGTCTAATGCAAAAATAAATGAAAAGGTATACATGCAAAAACCTTCAATCTGGGTTGGTCTTTACTCCGTCTTTCCAAGAAGACAGAGTAAAGACTGATTTCTGCCTTAGTTTAGCTTAGGTGACATGTAAACCTTTTATTTATTTACATTTTGACATTTGTGATTATTTATTTTCGCACTAATGAATATGTTTTCTTTAGCAAATATGACTTAAATATGCCGCATAAACACGATGAAAGTGTTTTGACAGATGTTGTATCCAATTAAATTATTAAAAATATTGGTTTCCATTTGTAATAATATCAATGAGCAAATAAGCAAGTAGTAAGTAATTATTATTGCTCATTAGTAAGACAAAAAGTGTTTCTCATCAATCAGTGGGTTAATCAGCAGAATACTTGATTACTAAAACAATCAGTAGTTTTAGTTATAAACTAAGATATAGATAAAGGGAAATCTCCTGCATCAGTGTTATATTTTTTACATCTTCTATGAGTATATTCAAATAAACCTATAATAAAAGTAAATAATATACTATATGCAGTGTTTATTCCTGTTGGGGTTTTTGTTTTGTACGAGTTGAGAAACTTTTAATGCTTCTAAAGTGTTTTCGATCATGAATGTATAAATGAAGCAATGCCTACCTCTCCCTCAACACTAACATCTGCTCGTGGTTATATTTACTTACTAAGTGTTGAGCTTGAGTAAATCAAACAATGATGTAACTTTCGCCTTTTGGATTAATGCGTATTTGGCTGAGAGCATAAAAGGAAGTAATTTCATCCTAAAAAGACTGGTGGGTGTGTCTTGTTTACCTGCTTCAAAGAAAGCTCACCATTTTCTAGTGAATATGGCAAATGTGTATCAAACAGTTTTACTCTCTTTCCTCTAGAGGTGGGAATTCGGAGCCTCTTCCAAATGCATTGGAAATGTGTGCCAGATAGCTTATCACCTTCTTTTATCAATGCTGACTTGTTTTTCTAACAGTCTCACGTTGCGCTGTGACGCTTCTGACACCTGAGCCACATGCCAGCTTTGTCCCCTCTCAGATTTTACAATGTGATTGGACTCAGAGATAACAAAACGACTGTCTGTCTGTGCTTGCTTTTTATCCCCTCACATGGAATACTGATCAAGAAACGCTAAAAAATTTGCCTTATGGGAAGAAACTTCCAGCTGTAGCTGATAGATTTTTCTCTAGTTTTGTATTTGTTGTGATTTTGAGAAACAACTCTTGATACAAACACATAAAAAAAACAACCTGATTGTTTATTTTGGTTTATCTGCTCATCTGTTTATTTTCTGAAAGCTCATCTCAAGGAGCCACTGGACAAGTACGTCTCAGGTTTGAATAAGGTGCGTCTGATCCGGGCCACAAAGAGGGAGGGGCTGGTGCGGGCCCGGTTGCTCGGGGCATCCATCACCACAGGCGAGGTTCTGACCTTCCTGGATTGTCATTGCGAGTGTCACGACGGCTGGTTAGAGCCTGTGCTCCACAGGTGAGAGAGCGCCCGCCAGGGAAAAAAAGAAATGCCTTCTCTCCTTGATTATTTTGTCAAAGTGCGGCCTTTAGAAAGGCTGTCTTTTAGTCCAGCTGTCACAGAGTGTGAAGCTCTGAATCTCTATCAGCCAGCTGCAGGAGCACTGTTATGTAGCCGTGTCTGACTCACTGTCTCGGTGCTCCAGCCTTTCAAACAAGGGCAGCACCAACGTTTGTATGGAGACTTTTATAGATAAACAAATTGCTTGCTTTGTAACACTGCTCCCTCCTGACATTCGCCTTTTTCTCCTTTCCTTTTTTCTCGCCAAGGATCAAAGAGGAGCCGGAGGCCGTGGTGTGCCCCGTCATCGACGTGATAGACTGGAACACCTTCCAGTATTTAGGCCATGCTGGGGAACCTCAAATCGGAGGGTTTGATTGGCGGTTGGTCTTTACCTGGCACACCATCCCAGACTACGAACAGAAACGCCGACGTTCACCCGTAGATGTCATCAGGTGTGTTTTAAGGACTCTTTATTACCCAAAAATAGAAAAAAAATCCCATATGAGTATTTGGGAATGTAACTTTGAGTGTGGCAGCTACATTATTACAGAAACTGCACTGCTGACATATCATACTTTTTTCTTCATACTGAGATAATTACATCTGTCTCATATAAGATGGAGCTCGTTATCCTGTAATATAATTTTTATTTTTTGGTGTCTTGAGGTCTCCTACTATGGCAGGTGGTCTGTTTGCTGTGAGGAAGGACTTCTTCCATTATTTGGGAACATATGACACAGGAATGGAGGTGTGGGGAGGAGAGAACCTGGAATTCTCTTTCAGGGTAAGAGCTGTGTGTTTTCATGGACATATACAGTATTATTTATGTAATGATAACATAGGTAAAGCACGTGTTATGTCCAAATTGACATTAAGTTTGCACTCCTTTTGGGATTATGGCCCAATTCATAGTGCAAGCCACTAAAAAAGGCAGGAGTGTCTGCTTTAGATTTGTTGAACCATATGACAGCTGCTCAATTTATGTGGAATCTGCAATGAAAATAAAACTAAACATGGAGTGAAAGCAGGCCGAAGAGCTTAATACTTTAATTGCAGCAAAGAATTTAAACATCCCTTCCCTACAATAACTGTAATTTCCCAAAGGGAAGAAACCAAAAATATTTTCCAACAACAGGCTAGCTTTTCTGTTCCCAAGCTCCTCCGCAACAAGACTGTGCTTTGTTTCCTGATTGAATCATGGCTGAGAGGCTAACCAAATCCTCGTGGTGGTGTTATTTATGTGTCTTAGATTTGGCAGTGTGGGGGCAGCCTGGAGGTCCACCCGTGCTCCCACGTGGGTCACGTCTTCCCAAAAAAGGCACCTTACTCACGGAGCAAAGCGTTGGCAAACAGCGTGAGAGCAGCTGAGGTCTGGCTGGATGAATACAAGGAGATCTACTATCATCGTAATCCCCACGCACGCCTGGTGAGTGTGTGCAGATGATGTGAATGTGAAAGCAGAATATTTCTTTCTTTCTCTTTTTAAATAGCTGCATTCACCACAGCACTGTCTCATTAACCCCTTCATTTCACCAGTGAACTCACTCTCGGTATGCGAAAAAATATCAAAAATACTCTGCCTTCTCCCAAAACGCGCTCGCACACACGCACGCTGCAAAAGCTCACCTGATTAAGTGACACGGGGGATATATGAGGAGCAGACACCCAAGGTGACAGGGGTCAGGGCATTCCGGTGTGCGATTACCACCTTTCTGTGCTACTTGGTGCCAGCGGGTGTCACCCACCTGTCCTTGACACGGTGAGAGCAGTGCCGACCCATGGGGGTGCCCTGATTTTGTGTGTGTGTGCGTGAGTGATAGTGTAGTTAACAGGAAATGCTCTCTAAGCACAGATCAGGTAGCACTTATCTCCATGAGATAAGGTAGCTTTGCCAAAAAATTCATCATACCCTCCAAACAAACACTGTTTTTGCTCATCCTGTTTGATTCACAGCTGAACATGTTTATACACAATAACAATACTAGATAAGGTTTATATCTATAAACGAACATATCTTACAAGGAAGTTACAATTTTACAATTTTGCTTGGCACAAAGTTATACTAGTCTCCTGGATGAATGTACTGTGCCTGTTTATAGTCTGTAGTCTGTCTTTGCCCATTAATGTCATAGCTTACCCAGGGGTGTGTGTATGACTGCTTTGATTTTAAAATATTAATACAATTTAATTAATATATCAATATAGAAATCAATAATTTAACATATAAATATTAATATGATATTTATATTCTTTTTAAATCTGAAAAAGCCACCTGCAACCTGCGTAATTTTAACGTCATATCAGATGAAGTTAACAGTTCATCTGCATATTTAATTTTAGCTTCTGTAGCTTAACTGTAGATTTTTGCTAACTAAAACAAGCAGGAGTGTATGGGAGCAGCTACAAAGTTCTCTTCTCACACTGGAGCTTGTTGAATGTTTTTAACGGAATTCCTGCATCTTTTTCCCAGTAAAGGTTTTTCTGGTGATTACAGAAATGAGCTCGAATCATTGCAGCCCTGCTTTGTAGATTTTGAACAAAATAACCTTAGACTAACAAATTCATGGTTGCTTTTTTTTTTTTTTTAAACGTGCCGTTCCCCTGACATTCTGACAGCCTGTGACACTTTCACTCCGACACTCCCAGACAAAGCAAGAAATCCCCAAATCAAACCAAAAAAAAAGAAAAAACAGCCAGCAGGCAGTGAGATCTGGAAGTCTTTTAGGATTTGTAGAAGGGCAGGTCCGCGTGGCTGTCAACATGGGTTACGTGCCAGTCCATGTGAGCTATTTTTATAGCTTGTTAATTAGTAACAAGGCACCATAAAACCTAAATAATCTACATATGAAATGGTGCAGGGTGAAGGAATGACTGAGAACTGTACTCAACTGAAGGGGCACTCTTTATTAACACTGGATGATTGAGGGGAAAATCCGGGTACTGCAATCGTAATTAAGATATGAATTGATGTCGTTAAATTTTGGTTTAAGTTATGAGCTTGCTAGAGATCAGTTGCAAACAACGACAGGTCTAGAGACGCATATTTTTCACAAAAAAGAGCAAATATATCCTAAATATAACTAAAAAATATAAATATGAGAAATTGCAGCAAAACAATTGTTGCAGCAAAAGCCAGAAAGGACAGCTGGCAAAAAAAAGGAAAATGCAGACTGAAAGTTAATAGGCTTTTTAATCACTGCCTCATTAATAAGGCATGGATATGCTGACTGTAATTATAGTTGTGTATTCTGCAAACTAAATGTGTCGCTTAGCTGTATTTTAATAACATGTACAACAAATTTAGCCTTAATCTTTCAGCTTCAACTCTCCTATGAGGTCAGCAAGTAATCTACCAGGATTTAACACTGTCTGTTTTAGGATTTACTGTATTTTGCTATATAGAGGCCTAGCAAACCATGGATTGTCTTTGAAATTGCTTCATCCTAACAGGAAAAGACTCAAGGAATTAAGTTCCCGACACTGAACATTTGTAATCCTCATTGATGTTCGCAGAGAAATCCAGAGGGCCATCTTCCTATAGATGCACCAAGCTTCACAGGATCTTCTAGGAAAGCTGATGCTATTTTTTTTTTTTTTAAAGAGAGTATACTGGTTACTAGGCAGTGAGCTCTGGAAGTCATACCTTAGGCTACAAAGTTGCTGTAGGAGTTGCCTTTAAAAGTTGGCTAACTTGCTTTGTAGTACAGCCCTCTGGAATCATTAGCTCTTGTTTTCCACCGCTGTTTCACTAATTGGCACCTCTGTGCTCTCGGTTCCTAGTTGCTCCCTTAGGTCGTTTCCTGTGACCGTTTATTCATCCATATAGGTTGCACTGTCACTGGGCTGGTTGCCCTTACCTTTGCATTTTATCAGGACCTTTACTGATCTTTAATTTAAGTCTTATTATCCTGGTAAGTGTCCTGGACTAGTCCTCATTGTTCTGATAGTCCATGCTGGTCCTAGCCATTGACAAAGCACTGCGTCCTTTGGGAATCTTTCTTCTCACTAAATAGACTGATGAATAGCCAATTAGAGCTGTGTTTGGGCAGGCCACCATCATCCATCATCCTGTAGTGCTGCTGAATCTTTCTTGCAGCAGGGAAGGTGTGGTGAGCATATGCTCACTGGCACATTAAAGTGGAGACTGTGTTCTTTCTCATAATCTAATTAACTAGTCTTTTTCAGCGTGGTGTGTACATGTGTAACTTTGTATGCATAAAAGTGTTTACACAGGCACGAACTGTTTGCGCACACACACGGAGACTCTTGTAAAATTGACACATGTATCCTGTTTGACTGTTGGAAGTTCTGTTTGTTTGAGGGGGAGCTATTGTTTGGAGTGAACTGCATTTTTATAGAGTAATGGACCATAGATGGTGCTATTGTATTCCATTTCAGGCCACTGGTATATTATGAATACTTCATCGGACACAACAGCTGTCTGATGGTGGCTGCATCGACAGCGCTCTCACTTAAAATTTTCATTTGAATATGAGATATCACTGGTAATTCATTTTTATTTTTTTATAAATGCAGAGCAATTCTGTGCTTCTTAATTTTATTTTAGCTTGCCAAGGCAGAAAAGTGAAAATAAAATAATCATGTTGAACTGTCATTTGCCATGTTTGTCTCCAGGAGGCCTTTGGAGATGTAACGGAGCGGAGGATGCTTCGAGAGAAGTTGGGCTGCAAGAGCTTCAAGTGGTACTTGGATAACATTTATCCCGATATCCACGTCCCACATGATCGGCCAGGCATGTTTGGAATGGTGAGAACAAAGTAAGACCTTATGAGCTTCTGCAAGCCAGGTTGTACCACTACCTAATTATATTTTGTTGCTGCCTTTTGCTAGCTTAAGAACCGGGGCAAGACCAACTACTGTTTTGACTACAACCCTACAGATGAGAATGCAGTGGTGGGCCAAAGGGTCATCCTCTATCTGTGTCATGGAATGGGCCAGAACCAAGTAAGTAATGCCAGTGATAAAAAAAACCACTTGCATCTTCCTTTGCTGAACAGCTCACTAAACTTAAAACAGGTTTACAAGCTAGTTTGCTGATTAGCTACTTGGTTACAGCCCATTTTCAATCATGTGAAACGCAGCTTTCAGTTAGATTTTAATTGAATGTTGGTTTTTGAACACAGCACACTGTTTGCCCTTTTATATGTGAGCTTCGGCGATCATTTGTTTACTCTTGTTCAGTTAATCCTGGCACTCTTGAAGACTGCCATTAATCAATCTAATATGAATGTCCTCTGAGCTATTTGAAAAGAGAAAAATAATGTTTGGAGAAACACAATTCGGACATTTATTTCTCCAAACATTCCAAACAAACAAATATTGTCTCCATCATCTTCAGTTGGCACAATTCTAATGATTGAGAGGACACTCATGGCTTTAAAAACTGACCTTACAATCGTGTTTGTCAGTCTTTTGCCCTTTAACAGCTTCGCTATACATCTCTGATTTATTGACCTAATAAATGCCTTCTGGACCCTTTAGATCAGAGTGTGGAGCCCAGCTGATTTCTCTCAGGTCAAGGCTTGTAATAAAGGCTGATTAGACTTTTGTGAAAAGAGCCTTCGTACCATCTGTGTATAAAGAGTTTTGTTTTTAAAATCCTTTGGAAATGTGTGATATGTTTTTGATTTAGAGTGTTTTATTTTATTGCCTCCACTGTGCTCAGGTTCTTTGGCCATATTCTTAGTTTTTTGGCCCATGTCTGGTTTTATTTAGTTTTGTAAAGCACTTTATAACATTAAGTGATCATTGTCACACCTTTGGGAGGCATTACTGACTAGTTAAAGTTAATCAGATTGCTTCATGACCACTGTAGTTTATGGGTTTGTCTGCTTGTAGAGCGACTCTTCTGGGTTCCTGACTATTATCTACAACTTTTGCATCCAGTGGCATTAATGTTTGATAGCAATAATTACAAACTGCTTTTGATCTCCGTGGCAGATCCATTTATCTCCTTCCATGTCTTCTCCTTCTGTTCTTCACTACTCCCTGTTTTACATTTATCATAGACAAAGGTAATCATGGATATAAATAGCATCTCAATTTCTTTCAGATTAAACATATAGTCATCCTATTTCCTCTCGGACTACAAGAATCGTGTTGTGTACTCTTACAGACCTGGGAATAATGAATATCATCTGTTATTCCAGGCTGCAAAATTATGTGATGGCTTTGTTGATACAAAGGGAATTCACATTTCCCAGTGCCTTTTCCTTTGTGATATTCAGTAATCCAGGAAGCACTGTGAAATTTAGCATTGTTATTCCAGAACATCTCTGTGGACACAAACTGATGTTATTATTGTAGAAAGTGGGGATAGCTGCCTTATGAGACTACTGGGCATGCTACAGAGACGAAACACACGCTCAAGCCATCTCTCTGTCCTAAATATAGATCCCTAACAGTGCCATTCTTCTGTTTTAACTGAATTTAGGCTAACTGAAATTGTTGCATTTTTTCTATTAGGAACACCATGCTAATGCTTGGTTGGTTTGCCTTTTGCTCTCAGAGCTGCTTTAATCTTTTGTGGCATAGATTCAACAAGGTGCTGGAAATATTCCTTGGAGATTTTGCTCCATATTGACATGACAGCATCAGACAGTTACTGCAGATTTGTCAACGGAACATGATGTGAATCTCACATTCCAGCACATCCTAAAATGTGCTCTATTAGATTGAGATCTGGTGACTGTGGAGGCCATTTGAGTACAGTGAACTCACTGTCATGTTCAAGGAGCAAGCTAGAAATTATTTGAATTTCAACATGTCACATTATTCTGCTGAAAGCAGGCTTCAGGAAGATGGTCAGAAACGATACTCGTGTAGGCTGTGATGGTACCAAAAAAGTATTTCCTCATATTAATATGCCACCAACAACAGCCTAAATTGTTTATTCAAGGCAAGGTGGATCCATGCTTTTATATTTCTGTTTCTCTGACGTTCTGTTATCTTATTTTGGTGAGCCTCTCCGAATTGTAGCCTTGGTCTCCTGTTCTTAGCTGACAGGAGCTGCACCCAGTGCGGTTTTCTGCTGCTGTAGCTCGTCTGCTTGTAGGTTTGAAGTGTTCTGCATTCAGAGATGCTCTTCTGTATTATAAATTTGTTGTAATGACTTACGGCTGCTTTCCTTCAGCTTCAAGCAGCCTCTGCCATCAACAATGCATTTTCATCCAGAGATTTAGTGCTCACTGGATAATTTCTATTTTTTATATCATTCTCTGTAAACCCTAGAGAGAGCTGCGTGGGGAAAATCCCAGTAGATCAGCAGTTTCTGAAATAATCAGACAAGCCTGTCTGACATCAACAACAATGCCCCGTTCAAATTCGCTAAAATCGCGTTTCTTTCCCAATTTTGATGCTCGGATTGAACTTCAGCAGATCATATTGACTTCGACTAACCTATGTGTCTCGATTGGCTGTTTAGATATGTGCATTAACAAGTAGTTTAACAGGTGTATCTAATAAAGTGACCCAGTGACCCCAGTTGTTTTGTCTCATCCTACAGTTCTTTGAATACTCTGTGAATGGTGAGATCTCTTACAACACAAGGGAACCTGCTGGATGCATCGCGGGTGACAGCATCAGTACCTACTTGACTGTCCAGCTGTGCAGAAAACGAGGGCAGCCTGTACCTTCAGACCAGAAATTTGTCTTCAAAAAGGTAAGATGTAAAGTATTTTAGTCTAGTGAGTTTCTGTGTTTATCCCTATCTAAGTCCACATTTTAACTAATAGTGTTAAAAAGGAAATTAATGTGGTGGCCCTGAAATTGCAGCATGTCATTAATTTTTGAGTTGCTGTCTGGAAGAGAAGATGTGGAATATAAAATCAACGTCTAAAATATAGTTCTTTGTTGAATTTTCTGTTACATTTTGTTGATTTCAGATTTCTACTTATTTTCCTTTTTGAACTGCCACTAATGTTTTAAAAGATGAGCACCCAACACTGAATTAAATGATTGACTCTATAGTTCCTCACTCTTACAGTGACCTTTTAACCAGCCACTTAGTTTCTCTTGTTCCATCAACTATTATCCCTTCAGAGAGAAAGTAGTACACACTGTACAATTCAAATTCTGAAAGTGCCCTAGGCTTTTAACAATACATGTCATTTTTTCTGTTTTTAAAACACACTGAATTCAAATTTATGTTTATGTTTGTTTCAGATGATAACTATATATCTATATCTATATCTATAGATAGATATAGATAGATATATCTATATCTATCTATATAGATAGATAGATATAGATAGATAGATATTAGGGGTGCAACGATACATGAAATTCATGGTTCGGTTTGATACTTTGGTGTCACGGTTCGATATTTTTTCGATACAAAAAAAATGTTCATGCCTTTTTAATTTGTCATTTATTAAAATTATAAATATATATTTTAACTCAAAAGTACAGTTTTTAAATTTAATGTTGCTGAAACAAAAGTAATTAAAAAAATAAATATATCTCAGGGCTCGCAAAATTTCAAAATCCCTGGTAGCCCTTCGGGCAGGGACTCTTCAGTTTTTGGTAGCCCAAAATAAATGTAAGTAGCCCGAATAAAAAAGAGAGCAATTTTTTGATTGATGTTTTGTTTCCTTTACAATATTATACATTAAATTATAATATTGTAAAGGAAACAAAACATTAATCAAAAATTGTTGAAAAACAAATTACAACATTGTATAAAAATTACAATCATGAACTCAAATACTTGGTTCTAATTGAACAGAAATTTCTATGAACTTGTAAGAACTGTGTAGGACATGAATCAGTCTGTGTCAGATCCTGAATTTGAAATTTCCACTGAAGTCACGGGTGAGAGACAGTGGAACCAAGATCTAGGCCATTTGCTTTTTGAAGTTTGCAAAGACTGCTAAATTTTGCCAGTGGTAGTTCACTCTTTGCAACATAGTACGCTGTTCTAAACAGATTTTTCAGGTTTATTTTTAGTATGTTATTTGCAATTGGTGTTTGTTCTGGGAAAGATATTGCAGACTGAGCAATAATGCATTTCTTGCATTTCTCATGGGTTCTAATGGGGGCCTTTCTTGACTGGTCCCAGTAACAAAGGCGCTTGTCGACTCAGAAATCGAGAGAAAACTAACAACACACCCGGCAGAACATTATGTTATTTACACGGGTGCACATAAGTGGTCCGCATGTGCGCATTCGCTGTCAAAATAAAAGACGCGCACCAGATAAGAAGTTGCAACGCGCGTTTGCGTCCATATAAAAAGCACTGTTTTTGTCCGCTAGAGTGGGCACATTCCGCACCACATCTCTGTGCGTTCATCATTTGTTTGAAGCCAGCTCACCTCCTGCAACCACTTTTCCGAGAATACGCGCTTCTTTTGTGGTTCGGACTCCTTCTGACATTTGTTTGGAGGTGGAGGAACACCAAAGTAATTGCTTAAAGGAGCTTCTTCGACATCTTTAAGAGTTTTAAACAAATGTCTGTCCTCCTCCAGAAAATCTTATGTATGCAAACAGGCGTTGCAACTTCATATCTTGTGCGCGTTTTTTTTTCCCATTTTGACAGCGAATGCGCACCTGCGGACCACTTATGTGCAGCCGCGGTTATATAGCTCGTCATATTGCAGCCACAGAAATTCTTTTGTCCATGAAACCATAAAGCTGCACTTTCTTTTTGCCTTATAGTCTCATTTGTCATAACTTTTCCGTTTTGTGGTAAGCTTTTCTTTGGCTGTCACTTCTTCACCCTGACCTGTCTTATTTGGCTCAGCAGAACTAAAATTTATATCCCGCTGCTTTTACACACGCACTCACATAAGCTCAGCGATTCTCTGTGCGACCAACCTCTCACATGTTTAAGCTGCGGGAGATTTCACTTGTCATGTTTGCATAGTAAGCTAACGATTGATAAGACGATGTCAGAGGAATTGGTGCGCAAATTATCATCACTCACAGATCAGTACTGTCGCTCTCTATACACAGTTCGCGCGATTGCAAAGTGAAAGAAAAAACAAGCGCAAATTAAGATAAGATAAGATAAGATAACCTTTATTAGTCCCACACGTGGGAAATTTGTTTTGTCACAGCAGGAAGTGGACAGTGCAAAAGTTATGAGGCAAAAATTAGAATACAATAAGAATAAATTCAAACGTGACTTCAATATGTCACATATTGACAGTGGCTCACCGATGCCAATGACATAATTACCCAGCTACATTTCCGAAAGAATGCAAAAGCATTGACATATATTTTTCCTTCCTACAATAGCCCGACGGGCAGGGCAGAGATAGATTTTGGTAGCCCGACTGGAAAAATCGCTAGCCCCGGGACGTCGGGCTAGCGATATTGCGAGCCCTGTATCTGATTGAGGAATCACTCATCTTTGGAAAAGAGAGTTTATTACAGAGAAATGGCTCTTTCCAAAATAAAAGCTATACTATCCGCTTCTTCTGGGCTATATTCTTAGCAGCATATTGTAGCGGGTCAGGGCTGTTCGGGGTTCTGTTTGTACAGTTATGTTTTGTTTATGTTGCCATAGTGACGGGTGACGCCCTCTCGCTGCGACGGTGTGTCCTTCCGGGGTCAGAGGGCGCCCTGTGTGTTGTTGTTGTTGCTGCTGTGCGGTTGCCGCACTGAGCAGTTAGCTAGCGGCAGTGTTCTTCTGCAGATGTCAATAAACGGCTGTGCTCCCTGGCTAGCTCACGGGAAGCAAGACCAAACGACACCTCAGTCTCCTCCTTGTCTCAGCTCGCCACAATATTAAACATATCAGGTCCCCATAAGGAGAATCATGTGCTAACGGCTGTCTAAATGACTCGGCTAAAGTTTGTAGCATGCGTGCTTGTTGTTTTTGTCTGCTTCCACTTGTCTTTGCACTAGGATGATGTCGGCGTAAATGTGCAGTCATATTCGTTGTGTTCCCACTAGTGCTGTCAGCGTTAATCTCGTTGAAATGACGTTAACGCCACAACACGGCAAATCTCCGTTAACGAGCTACCCCTGATCGCCCTGTGCGTGGGGCTAGATGGCCAACACGTTAACGAGCTAACTGCGCTAACCCACTAATTCCCACCCATGTAATTGAGCATTGCGTGGCACATCCAACATACTGTTTTACTTTAGTCCATGACTCGCTTACCTTCAGGGTCATATGTCACATGAAAACCAAAATAGTTCCAAACGCCAGATCTGAATGAGGGTGGGGGAGGTTCAATTTTCCATGTTGCAAGGAGAGCTTAACTTCTGTCTCGCTAGCTTGCCCTGCGCTCTTCCTTCTGAAGATGCTGTCTGTGTTGAACGCTCAGTGGATCTGCGCTCAACACAGACAGCATCGTCAGAAGGAAAGTTGATAAAATAAATTACAAATTTTGTATTGTTCATACATATGCGAACCGAACCGAAAGCACTGTATCGAACGGTTTAATATCGATACGAGTATGTTGCACCCCTAATATATATATATATTTTTTTATTTTTTTATTGTGTGTTAGTAGCAAGCTGAGGATTCAAAACACAATACTGGAAGTTAGTGTGATTTGAATGTCGGGACATGACACAGTCTAAATGTAAATGGATCCTAAAAACATTGAATGAATGTAAAACGGGGTATGTGGGGTATGTCTTTGAGGAGGGGGAAATTGGACAGTAGAAGGAGGGAAAATGAAAAGTGAAGCAAAAAATAAAAGTACAGATCAATCTGGGCAGGTCCTCTGTGTTCTGTACGCTCTGATGCTCCTAAAACTCTGATGTATAAAGAATAATGAAAGTAACAGCAGATCTGCTCTTTGTTCTTTAGACATGTATTGCTAATATCCATTTTGAAAATACTTTGCCAATTTTTCAGGATGGGAGTTTGTACCACGTCCACAGCCAGAAGTGTGTTGAGGCAATAGACAATACAGACAACGGGACACCAGCACCCTCACTCCAACCCTGCTCTGATAGCCTCCACCAGAAGTGGTTCTTTGAAGAGAAAATGTAATACTCCAACCCTAGGATATGTTTTTCTTAACCTTAACGGACGTCAAATGAGGTTGTGCTTCCTTTCAAACTTAAACCTCCTATAAATTCTTGCTCACTGGGTGAAATCTATCTGTATTTACTTTCTACAGTACTTACTGGATACTGCATATACACTTGTTGGGAAAACCAAGCCTATAGGACTATGCATTATTTTTCTCATTAAAGAGATGTTTGGAAACTAGTGCTGCTTTGCACATGGGAATATTTTTGCGGGGCTGTTTTTCATTTACCTACTCCACGCCTGTTGCAGTCTTTTAGTTTGCATGCAAAGCTTTACCCAGAAAGAGGGAAAGGCACAAAGAAAGCTGTGCATCCATATAGAAAGAAAACAGCGGCTTCATAAATCTGTCAGCAAACTCTGACCATCTTACGAGCTAGCATCTGGAATTGCAGTGATGTTCAGAGGCATGTCATGAGGCGTTATTTTATATTCTTGTCTTATCCTCTAGAGGGGGCTAAATCTCCTTTCTGTACATTCCCTTCTTGTATTGGGCTCTCTTTCTGAGTAGGAAGTGGAACAATTTTTCAGGTATTTAGTTGAGAGCCTTTTCAGGACATTTAAAGTGCTTGTCACTCCTTGCTACGTACCAGGGACTTAATAAAAAAAAAAGGCATTGTGCAAGTACCTAGTACCTCTTCAACGTAATCACCAACTACTGATAACAGGAGAATCTCCATATGTATTCTGTTCTTGTGTGCTTTGTAGGAATATGAATCTGAGGTAAAAATGGCTTAGACCGTTTTGCTAGCTTTTAAAATAATTTTTTTCCCCAGCATAATTCTGTTTTGTGCTCTTTAATGAAATGCAGCTTGAAAAGACTAAATTATAGCCATAATTTAAGGATTCACTTCATGTGGTGTGTCAAGTATGTTTTTAAATGATTTATTTTAGAGATGAGTTTAATTATTGTGTAATTTTGAGGCAATTCGTATGCACAGACGTGGAAGCGTTCTCCCTTACGAATCGCTCTGTGGGGTTGCCCTGATCTCGTTCTGTGTCCATCTGTTAGGCTCAGAAAACTATAGATCCCTCTGAAGCGCCGCTGTGGTCACTAGTGTGGCTGCCCTGCAGGCTCTGCAGGGAGTCCAAGGGGAACACAGTGGAGGAGCAGACGGTTGTCGGTGTCTTCAGGCTGCTGGGATGCCAGATGGTTTCCTGATTGATTCTCTGGTCCTCTTCAAATTCTTTATCACCCCTTCTTTCTATGTGTGTCAAAGGTGTTCAGTGGAGGGCTTATCTTTTGGACTCGCGCCAGCCAAATCCTCCTCAGATGAATACTTGTATACTTGTGTGCTTTGGGTTTGATTTATGAACATAAGACATAAAGAGCAGAGTTTGTGACAGCAGAAGCAGATAATGGAGGAGATTGAATGAAGCAATTTGCGACCTTTTTCTCACCATTAACCTTCTCAGGCTGTTTGCCCATCAGTCTGAAAGGAGTTCTGTTATAAACTGATGTTAGGGGACTTTTGTGCTGAAATGGATTTTTGTTATTGATTGAGAATATATGCTCATAAAATGAAAGAGTAGGAAAAGAAAAAGACATTTTATACAGTGTCATTGCTGTGACTTGAGCAGTCAAGATCCCTTCTGTTGCCAAATTGAATGAATATAAGGCCTCAGTCACACAGGCATAAAGACCTGTTGGTGACCATCTGGCAACAACCGGTCACAAGGGAAAAATGTGTATTCCTCGACAGGTTGCAGATGGTTGCTGGAGGATGCTAGCAGTGGCTGTGAAATTGATTGCTAAAACTCCATGGAAACAGGCCCAAGAGACCGGTCAGTGAGTGAAAACCTTGAGTTTGCTTCGGTTGCAGGCAGTTTGTCGCTAGTTGGTTGGTAAATGTAATCTTGGCTAGAAATACTCACACACTATTTGTCAAGTGGTTGTGAAACTGTGACCAGTGTGACGCAAACAAGACATGGAGAACGTTTACCTTTAAAGCACCTTTCAAAAAATGTTAGTTGCAGTGGTAAGGCACAACTTTTTCTTTGAAGGCAAATGTTCTTTTTCTCTGGTTTGCATCACATTCTTTCAAGTTTCACAGTGTGTTCGCAGACAAGTCGGTGTATTTTATGAAAACTGACCAAAACAATTGCAAGAATGTTTTTGGTGCACCACCCTTTTTGAAAATAATCTGACCTAGCGACAGTCAGCAACTCCTAGAAACCTTTTGCCAACTAGTTGGGGAGTACACATTTTGTCTTAGCAACCAGAGGTTGCCAGTGGTTCACTGACCGGCCCCTTAGGCCTGTGTGATTCAGGCCTAAGATGCTACAAGAGTCTGCAGCTCTGAACGTGCATTGACAGTTTCATTGCACTGTGCAGCTCTTAACTTGAACCATCGCACATTTATTGCATATCAAGTCAGAAAAAAACAGTAGATTTAAAAAAAATAATGGGTTTAAGTTTACAGTAGTCCATAAAAGTTTTTTTAAGAGTATGCATAGTACATTATTGTGTGGACAGTGCTAAGTGATACGTGAAGTGTACCAAATGATCAGTAGGAAACTTCACAAAAGGAGGAAATTTGACTCAGGACTGTATATGTTGTAAGGCTAAAACGGTGATAGTGGGTCGACCTGCTCTCCATAGAAGAGCACTCTATGCCTTTTGTAAGTTTGAAGCATCTTGCATGGAATTCATAGTCCACGGCAATCTTAGGCTCTTCTTTGCCTAGCTTTCCACGGCTTTAGTGTCGATCATGCATGATCGGTGAAATAGCCCGTTTGATGCATTGCTAATGCTTTATGTGTTAAACACTTAAGAAGTGGCAGCTCTTCAATTTTCCATCAGTTTACATCTTTGGCCTAAGTGGAGGGTAAATATTCTCTCGGTATTAAAAAGGGTTATTTATTGTCCCCTGTAGCCATCTGTTATTCCAACCATGCCCTATGTAGTAAAACATTTTTACTGTGATGTTATATTTTTGTATGCTAATTTGTTACGGTGCAAGCTGCAGCAATAACATTGATATTTTGAGAGTTTAGAGTTATATCTCTGCGGCAGGACATATAGAGTTTTATATCAACCAAATGCATGTCATTAATACAGATTTTCCGGGGATCTGTTGTAGCACTTGAACCTGTAAAGTGGATGATTGCATTGTGACCATGCAGCGCTATTGTATGATATCATGCAAAAAATACCGTCTTTTGGCCTTCCGTTTACTAATGTGGTAAATATGCACTAATAATAATGCAAGAATTCAAAGACCATGTCTGCTGTAATAATGCCGTCAGTAACTCCAGTGGCCTTATATTGTAATTAAATAATTGACGAATGTAATGAATGAATTGTTTTTTTTTTTCTTTTAATAATTAGTAGATCTAATAAATGGACTACATTTGATGTCATTGTGCCGGCTTTTTTTTAATGTATGTGTATGTGTGTGTGTGTGTGTGTGTGTGTGTGTGTGTGTATGTATGTATATATATATATATATATATATATATATATATATATATATATATATATATATATATATATATATATATATATATATATATATATTATATATATATATATATATATATATATATATGTATATATATATATAAATAAATTGTTGTGATTTATCATTTCCTAACATGTCTTTTTTGTCTTTTGAAATGTGTATTAACATTGGAAACGCTTCAACAAAACATACGAAAAATATTTTCACCATCTCCCATTGTCTTATCAATTAAGCTGTGACTCATCCACATCCACTATGATTAAAACAGGCTATCATTCACACGAAACTGCTGGAGATGCAAATCAAGATGCTCAGAGGATAATGAGAGAAGAAAAGGGAAGATATGGGGGGGGTAAGTTTTTCCAACCATATCTGATTGGAATGATCACCAGCTGCTGAGCGAGATGGTAAAATGTTGCACCCGTGCCAAGTCGCTGTTGCCTTCGATATTGACACTCTGCCCTGCAGTCTCTCTCAATTAGTCATTGATGGTGCGCGGCTTTTTAGGATTACAGGGTGTGTCTTTGTGTCACTACTTGCAACTTTGTTTTTCCTTTTTAGGAAGCTTTTATATTCAATTAGACATGCTAACAATACACAACTTGTTGCTCTTTCACCGAAACAGAAAATGTAGTTCTATGCCAGTGTTTGGTGGGAAAAAACGGCACGAGACGAGCTTGTTTCTCTCGCGTATACTCTGATGGAAAACTTGCCAAAACGTCATATTCTGAAAATGCTGGCATGCCAGCAATCAGCTGCTTCCTGGTAAGAGCTGCAGAAGTCTTTGATGCTGCCGTCTCTGGTATTGTCTTGTCCTAATCTTTTGTGTACCTCTCTTTGAAATAAGTGGTACAAAATAGCCCTTTTGTTGAATTTCTGAAAAATTTTAAATGCGCCCGCAGTAGCACTGTATGTTGTCACAGTCTGTTCGCTCAGTGTAGAGCTAATTTTTGATCCAGTGTGGCATACATGCAGCACTACACTCTCTCACACCCCATATGTGTCTTTAATGATAATACAAAACAAGGCTCCCTGCGGTGCAAGTCTTTGGAGATGCTCAGGCTTCAGTTGTCAGGGATGCAAAAGAAACTATAGGAGGAGGAACACACACACACACACACACACTCTCAAACACACTGATTGGAAGCCTTTTTCACACTGCATGTCAGTTTGGTTTATGTAATCCGCAATACCCAGAACGGCTCAGGAGCAGTGGCTGCTGGCAGCGTACATTAGATGACACACTTTCACTTTCAGGAGGGGCTCCAGACTGTGCGGAAAACATGTGAGGCCTAGATACAGAGATAGAATCAAAGAAGAAAGCAGCACGACGTCCGTGAAGTCTCTCAGTTGGTAAAATCTGTAACAACCAGCACCAACTCTTCCTTCACTTCAGCAGCCGTTCGTGCAGCGTTGTAGCAATATTTGCTTGGTCGTCTCATTTTCATTATCCTCGAATTCGGCTTAGGAGAGAGAAACATGGAAAGTAATTAACTTTCCCAAATTTTAATGCTACAGAAGTACAAAAGCGTTAATGCAGCTGTTCAAAGACTTAATGCAATTTACTGTGCAGAAAATCAAGGCGAGCCGTCTTCAAATAAAAGTTAATGTGAGTGTTTAAAAAGAGTCTTATGAGAACACACAGAACAAGGAAACAAATGTTTGATGATACGTTTCTAAATACTTCCTGGGTCGAATTCACCAGTGTGCCTCAATTTAAAGCCGTTTCCAGCCTACTTCAATGTAAGGATCAAACTCCTCTAATCCACGTCTGTGAAATCGGCCAATACAGCATCAAAGGCAGAGTACTTGTTGCTTATTGGGCTTTAATCACCCCTACTGTTTTCCAGTAGAATTGGACTAGACCAAAAACTCGCTCAAGGAATATTTTAGTAATCTTGGCTTTTCCAAATGCAATGAAGTTTTGTGTGTGCGATGCAGTGATTTCAATCCAAGATTTACACACACAGCCAAGGCCTTCCTGGAGTTAATTGATAATTTACCAAACTTTCATTTTCCCACTGAACAATTTTTATGATCTAATTCTCAGTCTCAACTGTTTGAACATAAGTATAAATCATTAAAACCAGTAAAAGGGAATATTTGACTTTAATCATGAGCCACAGTTTTTCAATTATTGTCACAGTCGGAGCGAAGCTGTAAATTAGCAGACCAAAAAAAGACATGAGTGGACTAGGCATTCGCAACGAGTCACTTGTCACTTACACAGCTGATTCTGATCAACGATGCTCTGTTGCAGAGTGACAACAGGTGGTTTTTCTTTTCAACCATGATTGTCATGTTGAAGCTGTTCTTGATTTGATGCATCTGGAGGTTTTATCCATGGTGGCAGAGAGGGACACCCCCCCCCCCCCCATGTTTAAGGCTGACATATCTAAACTGTTTGGTAAATTGCCATGAAATTGGTTCTAGATATAATTGATGAATACTAATGACTTTGGTGATCACTTGATTTTTCCTGTCACCAGCAGGTCAATTTATTTTCACATCTTCTACATGATGGGTACACAAATTAAAGCTTAACTTTTGCTAAAGTTAGCCCTTACTTATAACTCTTGGATATAAACCTTGTAAAATTTTCCTATTTTACAATATAAAATGAAAATTTTAACATCCTAGTCCGAAACCTGCTTTCGGTGTGTATTATCTTTTGGAGCAATTATCCAAAAATTGTACGGCTTGTAACACCTTTTTAGGGGATTGTCATTCAGTTTCTGGTGAGTGAAGATCTAATATCATGTCAGGTACTTATTAATTAGCAGAAATGTGTGTCCGGGCCCTGTACCCATAAGGTCTATCAGTGTAACTTGTTGAACAACCTTGCTAGCATTAGCTGATACAGGTAGCAAGGTTATGATAACAGTGCTAACATAGCTATTTGTTTTACAGCCTGCAATCATGACGTGTGTGTGGGGTTTTTTATAGGACTTTCCCACTTCAGAAATAAAATCTGATGGTTATCGATTTTGATGTGCAGTCAAATGTGAAAATTTAAATGAGCTGATCGGCTATGCGACCAAGATATTTTATGTTTTGGATTTTAGCCTAGCACAGTGTTTGAATTCTAATCATAAATTATAAGCATATGTTTTTTCATCTGTTTGTAATCACTTCATATGATTATGTTATGGCTTTTTTTCTTTTTCTTTTTATTATGGAACAATTTAAAAAATCTGAAAAAGTCTCTTTATTTATTCAGAAAACAGTCTAGATATATTATGCCATGAATATATGCTAGTGTCATCATCACTTGACTACATTTCTGTCAATGGATGTCACCACAAACACAAATACAAAGGACATATGTATTTGATTGTGAGTGTTTTTTTTTAGTCACAGTAGTGCTTTACTTTGCGGCATTATTGATTTCCTGCTTCTCAGACAGAAAAAGGTCAGATTAGAGGTCCAAAGTTTAAATAGAGATAATAATGGACATTTGATCATTACATTTCTTTTTTAAAACTCTTTGTGCACAGTTTCATCAATACTGAATGGGTAGTTTAGAAATTGGCCATTTGAAAACAGGCACCTATCCTGATTTAGGGCATTTTCCATGGAATTTAGGTGTCAAAATGTAATTAATTAATTTCTGGCTTCAGTTAAGTTATGATCTTACTGTGAATTCTCACCTAGCAACATACCATGAAAACTAGCACCAACCAGCATCATTTTCAGATTCATCCATCCATCCATCCATTTTCTTCTGCTTATCCTTGTCAGGGTTGGGGGTGGGTGGGTCTAGAGCAGAGGTCCCCAATCCCAGTCCACGAGGGCCGGTGTCCCTGCAGGTTTTAGATGTGTCCTTGATCCATCACAGCTGATTTAAATGGATAAATTACCTTCTCAACATGTCTTGAAGTTCTCCAGAGGCCTGGTAATGAGCTAACCATTTTATTCAGGTGTGTTGACCCAGGGTGAGACCTAAAACCTGCAGGGACACCGGTCTTTGTGGACTGGGATTGGGGACCCCTGGTCTAGAGCCTACATTTTCAGTTTCAGTTACTCCAAAATAGCAAAGTTTGACTACACCTATTTCAGAAGTGTTTTGGGCTGTAGATCAGTGCTGTCGGTCTAAAATGTTCATCTCTATTTACTCCGCAGAACTGTCTGCTGTATTTCGCTCTCCTTTGCTCCTCTGACATGGCCGTGAGCCTGGTGAGCAATAAATCTATTATTTTAGAGCCTTCGGTTTCAGCTGTGTGGCCAAATCTAGAGTAAAACACTGCAGTCGTGTGAGGCACATTTAATAACGACGAATTTTGCAGTTTGTTGTTGGCTTTGTAAAACAGCACAATAAAGATCGCATGGGATATTTATGGTGACACTGCAGATGGTTTTAATTATGAGAAGCACTTCCACGGTGGGAAAGAGGAGAACAGCACATATCACACCTGTCGTCTAATAAATGGAGCCTGTCACTCTGTTTCTCTCCCACAGCAGAGTGACGTGGGAGAGCCTAAAAAAAATAAACAGGTGTTATTTATAATGTAAATAACTCTACACTATACTTTGGTTCCTTTTTGTGCTCATTTTCTATGTTGAAGTCAACCCCTTCCGACTTTAGCGGAGTTGCTTCGTGCTGTTTTCTTTCCTGCTGGATGCCATGTTGAAGCCTGTCTAAGAGCAAATCATACTGAACAAAAAATGATGTTATTTTGCTAAAAGAGAACACCAGAGTCATATCAATTCACACGCCGGCAGACTGTGATTTTTCACAGCCTCCCCCAACATAGCCTACATGGACAGAATACCTCTTTAATGTGTTCCTACGAGATAAAATGCTTCCACAGGCGATTAACCATTCCACCCCACTCCCATTCATTT